GTCTGATCAATTGTCTATTCATTTGTCGTAATAAATAATTCATTTTATAGAAATATTTCTGATTTGCCTAAAACCTTCAGGACAAAGTGATTGAATCACACCTCTATAATTCCTTCAATCTAAACCAAACTCTGAGCCTGAGACTGGATCCAACCACCCCCAGGCTCCTCTCTGAGAAGGAATTTGGAAAGCAAGGGGGTCCTTTGTGCACCTCGTTGCTCAACGAGACGGCTTCTGCCATCAACTTTGTCTAAGCCTTCCACCCCCCAGCCCCAAACTGTGACACATGGGCGTGTCTTGTGCATGCAGTGCAAACATGGACTCCTGAGCTGGTCATTTGCTGTCCCTCCTTGGAGGGAAGAACAAGCCCAATGGCCTGGGGTGAGAGGCCAGTGCTGGGAGCGGCGCTGGCTGTGCCAGGGCACTGCTGGGTGCCCCCACCCTGAGCACTCCCAGCCTTGTGCTGGTCACTGCTGTTTTCCTCTGCAGGGCGTTGTGTTGGGCACATCCTGGAGAGCCAAATGGAAAGCAGATGGAAGCTTTGAGGCCCTGGCCTGAGGAGATGCCCCTGCAGGATGGCAGTGCTGCTGCAGAGGTCAGCTCTGTGCCAGCAGTGCCCGTGGCTGTCCCTGCCTGCAGTCCCTGGACAGTCCTGCAGCAGGACTGGCACCGACTGCCAGAGCACTGAGGCCTCCAACAACCCAGGGCTCTGCAGGACAGTGTGGAAGGGAAGGGAGAGGAGGCCAGGCAGGAGAAGGGCTGCTGCTCCCTGGCAGTGCTGCTCTGCTGGGACTCTTTTGTGGCCCAGCTCTGCACAGAGGCTCCGACCCTGCAGCTGGAGAGAAGTCAGAGAGGAAAGATGTGAGGCAAACAAGCCAATGCACAGTTCTTTATTTGGCTCAAGCACACAGCAAGTACAATTGCCAATTTGTACAGCCTGTGGGCCAGGCTAGAAAGGCAAACACTGAATTGAAAACGGTGTACATATATATATACTTTTATATATATATATATCTTTATATATATTTTTATATATATTTTTATATATATAAAGATTTTTTGATGTGAACAAATTCTCACAAAATAACATCCCTACCAGGAGTAAAAAATAGAGAAGATATGGTGGACCTTTAATGAAGTCCATAACAGGATTGGCCTTTAATGAGGTCCATAACACGCAGAAGGAGAGTTTCTTGCTTCTGAAAAACACCCAGTTATGAGTTTCCTCATGGCATCCTTGAGCTCCTGGTTCCTGAGGCTGTAGATGACGGGGTTCAGTGTTGGAGACACCACTGAGTACAGAACTGACACAATAAGATGCAGGGATGGGGAGGAGATGGAGGGGGGCTTCAGGTAGACAAAGAATAAGGTGCTGCTAAACAGGGAGACCACAGCCAGGTGAGGGACGTACGTGGAAAAGGTTTTGTGCCGTCCCTGCTCAGAGGGGATTCTCAACACAGCCCTGAAGTTCTGCACATAGGAGAAAAGAATGAAAATGAAACAACCAAATATTAAACAGGCACAAACCCCAATGAGCCCAATTTCCCTGAGGTAGCCTGAGTGTGAGCAGGAGAGCTTGAGCATGTGTGGGATTTCACAGAAGAACTGGCCCAGGGCATTGCCCTGGCACAGGGGCAGGGAAAATGTATTGGCTGTGTGCAGCAGAGCACTGAGAAAGTCAGTGGCCCAGGCAGCTGCTGCCATGTGGGCACAAGCTCTGCTGCCCAGGAGGGTCCCGTAGTGCAGGGGTTTGCAGATGGCAACGTAGCGGTCGTAGCACATGATGGTGAGGAGGGAAAATTCTACTCTAAGAAAGATTATGTAGACAAAAACCTGTGCAGCACATGCTGTGTAGGTGATGGTTCTGGTGTCTGTCCTAGGTAGAACAGCTGGGACCGACTCATCACTGGATGGGTGTAGCCCAAAGCTGTGTATTCTATAGCCTTCCATGGCATTTCCCAGAAACTGTTATCAGTAGAGGCCTGCGAAATAGGAAGATGTTCCTGTCCTCATACCATTTTGTGGGATTCCCTGCTCTGAGGGAAGGATTGAGCATCCTCATACCCTTTTATGGAATTCCCCGCTCTGAGGGAAGGACTGAGCATTCCTGCCTGAACTGGAGAATATATAAACTTGGAGTTTCGGAACCTTTTCACCACTTTTGGGATCCAGAGGGGGACTGCAACCACCACTCTTGACCAGACTGCAACAGCACTCTCACCAACAGGTTTTTCCCTCTCCTTTTACTTTGGACTCAGGGGGGCCCAAAGAACACCACTCTCTTCATGCCCCAGGGTGCTGGGTTATGTATTTGGGTTTTGTGGGTTAAAACCAATTGTTTGTCTGTATAATTTCACTTATGGTGTTATTTTATTAAATTGTTATTCTGACTTATAATCTCTCTTTTGAGTTGAGTTCATTTGCCCTGCTGGTTTACCTTTAAACCAGCACAAGCAGACACCACAGTGTCTCTTTCCCTCCATCCCTGAAGCTCTACCACATGAGGCCCTGCTTTACTTCAGCTTCTGCTGCTTCTTCATTGGTTGCCCTCAAGTGCTGCATGTAGAGTTTAGAAGCCCATGCCCGTGTTTTGAAGGTGCCTGTGTGGAGGAGAGGTTGAGCAGCTGCAGCCCAAGGCTGGTGTCCCAGCAGAGTCTCTAAGGATGGTACCAGTGGTGCTGGCTGGGGACAGCTGAGTGTGGAAGGCGTGTCCAGCCTCAAGCAGGACCATTGAAGTCAGTCAGGATGTCAGGCTGCAGCTGAAGCTGCCAAGGGTTGCTGTGAGGCTGGGGAGTCACTGGAAAGCTGTGGTGGCCACTTGCCCTGAAGCCTTTTGCCAAAGGGGGTGCAATTGTGCCCACAGTCTGCCCATTTTTGGTGTCCTGGCGGGTGTGGGTGCCTGGGTGAGGAGGCCCAGGCATTGTGGGTGCTGCTGCTCCTGGGCAGCCTCTGGTGCTGTTGTCTGTGGGGCGCGGAGCCGCTCGGGCAGCAGCGAGTGCGCAGGCCTGCCCGAGGAGCCCAGTGCCCTGCCCGTGGTGGTAGCAGCTTTGCGGGCCCGGAGCTCTGGCTCAGGGGGTGTCGGCCACAGCCCCGTGGCCTGGGCAGCCGCGGGGGCCTGGGCTGGCCACCAACCCTGCCTGTGCCACTGCCCCTCGCAGGCAGCACCCGGCGGACGTGCCCCGGCAAGGCCCCTTGCCCTCCTTGTCCCCAGCCAGGCCAGCCTGGCCCCCTTGGGGGTGTGCCCACCCTGCTGCTGAGGCCCGGCCTCCAGGGCTTCTGCCACAGGGCTGGGAGATGCCTCGGGAAAGCACCAGAGCAGCCGGCTGGCAGGGAAGGAGGTGGCTGCCTGGGGGCTGCTTATGGACTCTGCCCCCCCCAAGTCCTGGGGTTTTCCCTTCACCCTGCCCCTCGGGGTCTGCACCCACTCTGTCCCCTCGCAGCCTTCTGCCACCCACCCCCTCACAGATTCCCCTCAAGGTTTCTGCTCCCTTGTCCCATCAGGGCCTCCGCAGCACCTCACCCCTTCCTGGCCTCCCAGTCCCCCCTCCCCTGCGGGTCTCCCCCAGCCCCACCAACCTGCCCAGCAGCAGCGCAGCCCTGAAGGAGCTCCAGAGGAGCCGCTCCAGAGGCACTTGGGAGCCCGGAGCAATCCAGCCAGCAACACACAGGCAGGACACAGACACTGCTTCCTGGCCGGGGGAGGGCTTGTGGCCATCTCCAAGGACAAGGTGCTCAGGGTTCCCCACAGCTCCAGCCTCTGCCCCTCCATTTTGCTGCAAGCGTTGAGGCTCCAGCAGAGCCACCAAAGGCCAAGGGGCTTCTGCCCACTTTTGCTGGCACGCTGCACAGTGGGGCAAGTGTTGCTGAGCACAAGGAGCCCTTTTCCCCTCTTCCCCAAGGCCCTGTGCACACTGGGCACCAAAAAAAACTCCTGGGCTTCTGTATGTGATAACATGGATGTAATATTCCCATGCTGAGCTCAAAGGAGGTGTTTGCAGGGAAGAGGCATCTTCCCCACAGGCTCAGGTGGCTCCAGGAGATGGAGCTTCCCACATCAGTTCTCCACAGAGCGTCAGCAGCACAGGCAGTGTATCGGGACAAAGCTGGGATGTTATTTTTTGGTCTGTGTTTGGCCCTAGCCACCTGCAAAAGTTTATGTTTTCTCCTGCCAAGTCTGCTGATAAAGCAGTGAACTTGGCCTTGGAGGGAGAACTTCTGTGTAAACTGTTTTAATTGGTCTGTTGTGATTGGCCCATTGCTCTTCAAGGGCAGTTGGAGGACAAAGTGATGAGGATGGTGCTGAAGGCCTCCCCCAGACTCAATTGGAAAGACCCCCCCCAGTTCACTGCACCTGCGTCAGGGGATTTCCAAGGTGCTCACGCATACGCAGGAGGGGTGCACTTACATAACAGACGGGGTGGGATTGAGAGCCCCTGACGGGGCGGTACTGGCCACACCTCCCCGGGGCAGGTGCTCTCAATAAACTTTATAAAGGCAGACTCATGTCTTGGGGGTGGGTTGGCTCTTCACGATGGACCAAGTTGTTTTTAGCAGGGATGCCTGCTGGACGTGAGAGCCTGCCACCCCTCCAGAACACGCAGATGCCGTAGAGAGACTTCATTACTGGTTAGGATGGGTAAGATTATCTTATAGGTGACACCTGGGTGAGTATGAGGTGTCGAGCCTCCTTCCTAGGGTCTTTTGTGCATTTTTTCCTCCGACCTAATTCTTTTCCCTCAGGCGCCTGTTTTTTCCCCTTTTTTCCCTGTTTGCCACCTTTTTTCTAATAAATAGCTATTTTTTGCCAACTAGCAACGGTGTTTGGTTTATTCACGTTCCAGAATCCCTCGAACCTGTTTTTCCCCTGGTTTTTCCACCTTTCCCTGTTACAGGCGGACACTGCCCTGAGGAAAAGGCCGGGCCTACCATGCCCTGCACAGCCAGTCTTGGAGCTGCTGGAATCTGGAGTAGGGAGCCATCTGTACAACTCTCAGCATGTAGCAGTATTGAATTGCCAGGCCTGCCATGGCGAGTCTGATGCCATCTGTCACGCCTCTACGGGCTGGAAGAGGCAGGAACGGAGACTACCAGAATGGGAAGAAGGGAGTTCTCCGTACAGCTCTGATGATGTGGAGCGTTTCACGTGCCAGGTTTGAGACAGCAGGGCTGTCATCAGTTATGTTTTGAAGGGCTGGAAGAGAAAGGAAGAGAGCCAAGGTGAGAGGCCAGGGGTGTGGGGACATGAGGAGCCCCTCCTGCCAGGGCCATCCCAGCCAGCTCTTGCCATGGCCAGGAGGGAGCAGGGCCCAAGGGGATGAGCTGGAAAGTGCCCTCGCTCACCCTGGCAGATGAGCTGCATCTCTGGCTGCTCCTGCTTCATGGACCTGGCAGCGATCCCTGGGAACACAGAACCTGTCAGGCCCCAGAGGCACAGGTCCCCTGCAGCGGCACTGCCAGCCCGGCCACACGGCCTCCTGGCCTGGCAGGGCTGAGCCCGGGGCCTTCCCACATGGGGACGCCCCAGGGCTGGGCTGGCACAGGGCGGCAGCAGGCGCCAGGCCACTCGGGGCTCCACATGCCCTGGGCCGCATCCTGCTGCCGTTGCAGCAGCCAGGGCTGGGGCCGAGCTGCAGCGGGGCAGGGAGGGACCCTGGGCTTGTGGCTCACCCAGAAACTTGATGGCCAGCTTTCGCAGGGGCTCCTCTGGGCTCTCCAGGTACGGCAGGGCCTGGCGCACGTACTGGCCCACTCGGCTCCTGTCCTTTTCCAGCTGCAAAAGCGCCAGGGCACGGAGGGAAGGCTAGGCTCAGGCTCTGCCCCTTGGCCGGGCGCTCCCTGCCCCCAGCACGGGGCTCCCCTGCCCGCAGAGCCCTGAGGCCCGTCCAGCAGCTGCTGGGACCGGGTTTGGGGGGAGCAGAGGGCTGGGTGCTCCCGGGGAGCCAGGGGCTGGGGCTTTGGGGCCGTCCTTACCAGGCACTCGGGAAACCTCCACGGCTGCTCCGTGGTCACCAAGTGCTCAAGGTCCCTCCACTTCAGGAACCTGGCTGCACCAAACAGTGCTCTCCGAGAGGCCTGCACAGCAACAGAGAGCAGGCCATGGCACCGCAGCCCAGGGCACAGCACCCGCATCCCTGCACCAAGGCCAGGAGGAGGCTGCAGGCAACCATGGGCCAGGGCAGGAGGCACAGCAGCCTCCTGCCATGGGGACACCGGAGCCCACGAGTCCTCACCTCTGCCACACGCTGGTTCTCATCCTGCCAGTTGAAGTAGAGTGGCACCAGCCTCAGGTACACAGGTGGCTTTAGGCTCTTGCTCCTCTCTGTCGCTTCCAGCACCTCCCGGAAGAGGAGCATGGAGAGCTGCTGCAGCTGGCTGTGCTCCTGGTGCAAAGGAAGAGGAAAAGACCTCAGTACTGGCTTCTCCAGGCCCACCAGGGACCAGGCCTGAAAAGGCACTGGGCCCAAAGTTTCCTGGCAGCACTCAGTGCCCACGATGAGGGGCACAGAGCCTTACGTTGTCAAAGAGTGGTCGCAGCGCCTCAAGCAACTTCAGGGCAGTGGGGTTGGATATTTGAATGATTTTCAAGCCCAGCACGTTGATGAACGCAGAGAGAGTCATCTGAACCGCGTCTCTGTCTGCATCCTGCAGTAGTTCCAGGAGGCTTTCATTCAGGCTCCAGATGCTCTTAGCCTGTGTGGAACACAATGCTGTGGTGCAGTCCCATGCTGCTGCCGCAGGGCCCAGAGGCCAAAGGCGCGTCCCAAAGGAGTTGGGCAGCTGGACGGGGAGGAGGAGAGCTGGGAGCAGCTGTCACAGCTGCCAAAGGCCAGCCAAGGCCAAGCTACTGCCTTGCACAGCCCCACGCTGCTGTCCCGGCTTCAGCCCCTGCCCCCTGCTCACCATTGCGGGAGCCTTGCTGATCACCAGCAGGCCTCGGAGCGCCAGGCGACACCTCTCCGGGCAATGGCTGCGCAGGCGCCTTGAAATTATCTGCAGGACGCTGGGCCCACATTGTCTGGGGTTGAGGCAGTGCAGGACCTGAAAGGCAGGGAGCAGTGACGGGGCTGGGCCCAGGCAGCAGCACAGGGGGCAGGCTGCGGTTGTGAGAGGGCAGAGAGGGGGAGGCAGCTGGGCCAGGCAGCGCTCGCCATCAGGCTCACCTCCACCAGGAACGCCAGGGCAGGCAGTTCCCACAGGGGCTCTTCCCTGCTGAGCCGCGGGAGCAGGCTGACGGCGATGCTGCGGCAGAAGGAGCGGGAGACACGGCACAGCTCCCTACAAGGGGGAATAAAGGTGCCACAGACCCTGAGCCAGGTGGGCAAAGCTCTCCTGGGACTGACTCACACAGGCCTGGTCTTTGGCCACAAGCCCAGGAGAGGACGTGAGCGCTTTGGGAGGTGGCTCCTCCTGTGCAGCCGCCCCTCTCCGCCTTTTCCACTCTGCTCAGCCATCCTTGGCTGCCAAGGCCCTCTGGCCCAGCAGCACGGGCACTTTGTGGGGT